CAAAAGGACAAAGAAATGGGTCCTAGAGCAGATCAAGCTGGAAATCTCCTTGGAAGAAGCCCAGATGACAAGACTTAAGACTTTCATACTTTGGATACATCATAAGAAGGAATGTGTCATTGGAAAAGACAATAATGTTAGAAAGGTGGAGGGAAGTAGAAAGAGAGGAAGGCCATACGCTCTAGATGGATGGACTTTATTAAAGGGACCATGAATATGAGTTTGCAGGAGCTGGGCAGAGCAGGAGAGGACGGATGTCTCATCCATAGGGATGCCATGGGTTGAGACTGACGCAAAGGCAGTTATTTATCATCAGCAACAAAGGCTTTAAGCAGAGCAGGGAGGAGAGAGGCTCTTCTTGGAGAGGTCTCATCCAGAGGGCTGCCATGGGTCCAGATCCACTGGAGGGCAGTTAACAACAAAACCTAGAAACTTCCCAGCAAAAGAAAGGATGAAGTGCCATCCAGCGGACAAGGGCAGCAACAGCCTTTCATCCCACAGAAGGGTAACCATGGCAACCTGCATCCCTGCCAGCCAATCGGAGCCAGAGCTACTCCCAGAGGATGCTGGCCTCTGGACCACAGCCTCCTGAGAGTCAATGGGACTTGTAGAGCGAATCCAAGAGCAGCTAAGAAATATTCTAGAACTCCCACACAGTTCCCCTTTTGATTAATTATATGACATAAAACCTAAGGGATAGTGTGGCCTAGTGGTTCGAGTCTTAGACTACAACTCTGGAGCCCAGGGTTCGATTCCCAGCTTGGGCCATGAAACCCGCCGGGTAGCCTCGGGCAGGTACACTCTCTCAGCCTCAAAGGAAGGCAATGGCAAACCTCCTCTGAACAGATCTTGCTAAGAAAAACCCAGGATAGGGGTTAAGGTCATTTTGAATGTTGATCTTCTCCTTTGGAGTATTAGCTATTTCTCCTAATTTGGTGTCACTTGCAAAATTTGGTAAGCAGGCCCTCTATTTTTACATCCAAGTCTTTGATAAAGATGTTGACTAGCCTCAAACCCAGGACCGAACGCTGATCACAGAGGAAACCTTGCATGCTGAGCTGAAACAAAATATGGAAATTAAAAATGAAATATGGATTAAAATTAAATGAAATAAAATAAAACAATGAAATAAAACATGGCACTGAAATAAAACAACTTCACTTAAAAGCTAGGAAAATGGCAGCTTTTTCTTTCTTTTAATGCACTAAAATACTTCTGACACTTTGTCTATTAAATCCTATAAGGAAAAACCATACAAAAAGTCAACAAAAACTTGTTAATGCCTTCCAAAAGAGGCTGGGGAGTTCCCAGCTGGAGATGCTTTAGCTGGGGATCTTGCACTGAGCAAAGAAATTGGACTGGATGGCCTCTGGAGGTCCCTTCCCAACAAATAAATAATCTATTTGTGCCATAATAGAGCCACATGGGAAGGAAAACTACAAGCCCCACAATGCAACGCGCTCAACAGAGGGCTGAAAACCGGAAGCAGGTGGTCCCTTCTCTATGGTGGTTTTTTTCTTGCCCTGAAGTGAAGAGCCAGGAAAGGAGAAAGCGCCGCCCACCCTCGGCCGTTTGTGATTGGTCCGTTGCATGTCAATCACCGCAGCGGCTTCCTGTGATTGGCCAGAAGGCTCCCCCGCCTCCTACAGTTTGCAACCAGAGCAAAAGCTCAGGGCAAAAGGATTTTCCTTCTTCTGGCTCCATTGCCTTCAGCTTTAGCAGAAAAATGGTGAGTTTGCCTTTATGGTAGAAGCCCTGCTGCCCTCTTTAGCCATAAATATGACGTTTTAATTTATAATTTATTTTCTCATATATACACATAAATGGAGATGCCAGGAATTGAACCTGGGACCTCCAAC